TCGTTAATGAGATCATGAAACAAATGCACATACATATTTGTGACATGATGTACCTTGTGTGTGTGAAGTTTGAACTCGATCAATCCAAGCATGTCTCAGATACGGATCCAGAACTGAATTCTTTAAAACAAAATGGCCGCCAGTCGGCCATTTCGAACCCGATCCAAAAAAAAAATGACGTGCATCAAGGTCCTATTATGTTTAATGTATGTACCAAATTTGAACAAAATCCATCCATGCATAACTGAGATCCGGGTCCGGAATGGTGAAAATGTGTGATTTTGATGCATTTTCGGCCTTAAAATGGCCGCTATTCGGCTATCGTTAATCGGATCATGAAAAAAATGCATGTGCATATGTCCCATATAAGGTGTGATGTATGAGTGAAGTTTGAACTTAATCGGTCCATGCATGTTCGAGATACAGGTGATCACGGACGCACGGACGCACGGACGCACACAGGTGCAAAACATAAGTCCCCGTTTTCGGACTGCGTCCGAACGGGGACTAATAAAATGTTACTATGGAGACTTATAAACAAGAATTTTCCTGATGTTTAATTCACCTTTTTGACATATTTCTAAATTGTATCCATTTTTTCAGATTACCATAAAAACCCTCAAATAAGAGCACTTTGTAACACTTCATTTCTGGGTGGTGCTTATTGAGGTAACATTTTGACAACTTTGTAGCCAGTGGCTCTTAAAGCAGGGTGATCAAACTTTTTTATTGTGAAATGGGGAAGGGATAGGCAAACACACACACAACCAAAACAGACAAATAATTATTAATGATGTATCATTGCAATTAATTTATTCTGTAAAAATACTGTTATGGGAATAACAAATGTCAAATAAATAAGAACGGCTGCTCGCTGACCGTGCTGCTTAGCGTACACGACGATTCGACGTTTCACCGACAATGTGTAGCGATGCCTGAAGTCATGTTTCACTGACAATGCGTAGCGATGCCTGAAGTCGGATTTGGTAGCACTCTCAGGGTCTGACCCACACTTGTACTTCCGTTGTACAATTGTTTACCAAGTCTGGTACGGCAAACTCCAATTTTTTTTCTTGAAAACTGGGAATAACTTGCGTGGCTGTGGCTGGCGTGGTGGTTGATTTGGTGACGATATAAAATAGTTTCGATAGAATTTATCTGACCAGCAGCGACAGGAGCATGGAACGAATGAAAAAAATGATGCCCAATCATTTGTATTTATGGCAAAAACAATAAAGAAAACGCGTTTTTCTATAGATTTTTACAGCTTGGGTACTTGGGCATTGTTTTAATTGCGCTAGACGTCTGAAAGTACAGCTTTGGTTTATATATTTCCTGTTTCATAATCAAGCCAGCTTATAATGATATGTTAATGATATTCACGTACTTCACTGTCCAGGCAAACGGGGTCAAACTATAGCCCCACCCCTATATAACCAAATACGAAACGATACCGAGAAAGTAACAATTACATGTATTAAAAATAATTTCCTGTGACCAATCGGAGAGACTAAATCATTTACGAAAGCCCAGGCCTGTTACAAGGCATTTTCTAATTGGTCCATTCCAGATTATTTTCAATTCTCACAAATAGCTAATTTAAATATGGTTGGGTCAGGCGGGTCACGTCGACTTCGCTTTGCTGTAAGACAAGTTGATCGCGCAAGTTTGTGGAACTAATCCATTCGACTTCAATTTTGATTATTTTCGGCAAGAGAGTCCTCTCCAAACTAATGCCAGTTATTTTGTCACTTCCCTGAACATTTTGTCTCGAATCACCCCAAAACGAACGTCTCAAATGAAATGCCAAAAATAACCCAAAATCACGATCAGCGAGAGTGGGCTGCGTAATCATTACATTCTCACAGTCGGAGCTAAGTCACGATCCCTCAAACGTTGCCAGGACCGGATTAACACCTCTGTTCCCCCCCCCCACGCTAACCAAATTTCCCCCACGCTAAGGAGAAAATCTTTTGTTTTCTATTGACTTCCTGTTCCGGTCCGTCTGTGTATTTTCGATACCTCCGATTTTCCGATAAAGGCGTTCTAAAATCGTGACGTTTTTTACTTGGTTATAAAGACAACATTGGCAATGAATATCTCAACGTGTCCTTCGGTGTTTCGGCAAAAAACATAGTTACTACTAAATAGTTTGTGAATTGGTCGATTGTGTGTCAGAAATTTAAAATAGACAAGTTGACAGTCACATTCACGCTCTCAGTGTATTTCTTTCGTCTGTCATTCTTCCGTTCTCAATTATACTGGACATCAGGCAAGCTATGGGGATAATCTTTATTTGTCTCACACCTTCTGTGGGGCAATAAACAATGCAGGGTGGAAGTGAGGCACGACAAGCTTGTGTCTGCCTGATTGTAAACAACCGGGCGGCTGGCGCTTATTTCTGGTTTCTTATTGACAAAACCACTCAAATCTTGGTGGCTCTTAATGGAGGGTCAAATGTAACAAATTTTCACTGAGTGGCTCTTAATTGAGGGTGGCGCTTATTTGCGGATTTTTACGGTACAATAATACAAACCTGTTATTGATACAAACGCTGCACATTACATTGAAAGTTGAATATATCATTACTTTAGTTTTCAAATAAATGTGGTATGAATTGAAGGAAATATATAATTGTGTAAAATTAAAAGTTATGCACAAGAAATGATTTTTGGAAATCTAAAGTCTGCTTTTTAGCAGTCAAACCTATGGTTCACACTTAATTACATTGAAAGTTTGTTTTGTTGCAAGGTTGTGGCTACCGTATCTTAAATGTTGATCACCTTTCCCCATATAGTAGTACAAATTGATATCATTTTTCTATGTATTTATTGTATCAAGGTAGAAGCCATGAAGTCATGATGCAAATACATA